AGAGACTGCTCACAGGACCTGCAGATCTGGTGTGGAGGAGTATGTCATGCTGCATTCTTCAGAGATTTGGTGGCATCGGTCTGGATCTGCCTCTCTTTCTGATGGACTCCAGTAACTTTAACTCTTCTCTTCTTCCAGTTTTTATAACAGTATTTTCTCTGTGTGGTCTTTGCTGAGGAAGGATAGACAGCATCAGGCTGAGTCTCTGCACTGGTTGCTTCAGGAACCGGTTCTGTTTGGGAGTTTGTTGGATTCTCTTTGGGGGGCAACAACCTGCCCCAAACTGCTCCACACTGCAAAGTTTATTACCTTGGGAGGGTGGTGGAGCTGGCTGGACCTCGTCTGGATGATCCTGTTAAGCTCGCTGCTTTTTTTTGAGAATAAAATCAGTTTGACTTGTCGTTCAGCTTTTGTGCTACTGGGAGCAAAAGTTAGTGAACATCAATGTTCACTTTTGACTGATTATCATGAAGGTTCTTTGTCACCAAATCACTTGGAATCTTTTCCATCCTTTAGACTGTTTCCTGGGATAAAGAACTGCTCTGGCCCTTTTTTGGATTCGGTGGACAATAAAGGAATCTCCCTAGAAGGAGCTTCTGGAAAAGATATCTATAGGATGATTGTAAAAACTCTCAATCAACACAAACTGAAAGGATGCAGTGACACAGTATGAAGAACTAATTTCTCCTTAAAACCTGAATTCAAGCCTGAATGGAAATCATATATATATAAGCCTCCTCTAACGAAAAAACCTGCAGATTTACAATGAAGAATCCTTCATGGTATTGTAGCTGTAAACTCTTGTGTTTCTGTTATTAATCCTGCTGAGGAAGAAAAAATGTCCATTTTATGAACAGAGAGAAACAGTGTTTCATTGTTTTTCTGACTGTTCGTCTGTCGGCTCTTTTCGTGCTTTTGAGAACTATTTTCAACAGATATGGTGAAATATTCACTAAACATGGATTTATGTGTGGATTTAGATTCACTGTTAAAAAAAGAGTAAATGTCAATTGATAATTTTATTGTTAGGAAAGGCTAAAATAGCCGTTTACATAAGTAGAAAGAGGAAGGTGGTGGAAGAGTTGAATATTGACTTGGTTTCTTTACTTATTAACCGGATCAATTCTAGGCTATTGATTGAATTAAATTTTTACAGATCAGTTTCAGATTTAGATACTTTGTGTCGCATCTGGAGTTATGGGAAAGTAATTTGTAGTGTGGCAGGAGGAGAACTCATTTTTGGGAAGGTGTTAATGTCATTTATTCTCTGGTGTAGGTTTTTTCTTTTTGTTGAATTTTCTGTTGCATAGTTTGTGATACTATGTCGAATATTTATGGAAAATAAATGAGTTATTATTATCTCTCTCTAATCCACTTCCTGTCCCCTCAGGTCGCAGCTTAGCTGCGCTCAGAGCTCTCCTATACCTTTGTATTGCAGAGGAGCTCCTGCAACTTTTAGAACAAAAATCTATGGGGAAAGATTATAATACGTCACCAATCTAAAGAAAAATGGAATAATGCTTTACTAGTCATTAAAGACTAAATACTTATGTTGCACATCTAAAAAATACATATTAATGTATTTCTAAATATTTTAATTGTAAAATTAGATAACAGGCATCCAGCGGAATATGAAAAATGCGAGTCTCTGGTACGGACAACCCCCAAGAAACCAACAAACCTCAGCTAGAAGCCGAGGCTGGAAGGAGATGAAAACAAACATCAACCGGAAATGTTTGTTGAAGCTAGGCTAATTAGCAAGACGGTTAGCATTCGCTATAAGGATGGGACTTTTTTGATGGTGAAAAATCTGATTTTATCTGGCGATTTTCTCATCATGGAATGTTTTTATTACAAATATGCTGGATTACTTTTTATCCATAGACTCTGACAGACAAATGAATGTAAACGATCTAAGATGGGTTTTATAATACTGCCTCGGGATCACTTGAAAGGTAGGAGGTTGAAGATTGATTTAATATGCTGCCATATCTTTATTAATTGTGCTTTGGTGCTCATGGTGTCTATAAACTTAACTTGGTTGTTGAATTGTTGAGAATCTAAGCTTTCTAAGGATGTATAACATTTTTCTATTGGTAAAAGTGTTATTTTCAAGTGTACTACTTTGTATAATGGTGTATAATGTAAATATGCACAAAGGAGTGCCGGCGATCGGGTGGATGTTAAGAGGTAGGGGGGAAAATCTGAAAAAAATTGTATTTCAAATAGGCCATATCGCCTAAATGTTCTTTCCACACATATGCTAATGTGCAATGATCTTTTATTAGTAAACTCTCTGACAGAGCAAAGATAGCAGAGTAACTCAAGCAAAATGTCAAATTAAAAATCAATATTAATATGGTTTAACCATCTGACCCCTCCTTTTTGCTGTCTATTGGAGTTTCTTCAGTTTGTTTGGTTAAATTTCCTTTTCTTCGTTTCTTCGGAGCATCTTCATTTGGTTTGGTCAAATGTCTCTTGCAGTGAAATCAAGTATCCTATCCTTTCTTTTCACGTGTCCAGAATGGGATACTGCATTTCCATGTAAGGGATCACCTCATCCTCCGGTACAGCCTAGACTTAATAACAACTGAATTCTTCTGGCACTGGGATTTTTGTTTTTACTGTTCTCACTTTATTTTATGGTTCAAACAATTATTACAGGAAGAAAAGAACATAGCACTCTGGCCATGCTGAATTGCTACTTTTTAGGAAAAAAAATGAGAAAGCTGCTCCAGATGGCTTTATCATTTAGGCCTGTTTTCCTCTTTCTTACTGCTTCTTTTTAATACAATAGAACAGAGAAATTTAATTAGAAACTCATTTAAAATCTGCTCAGCGTCTGACATTCAGCTGGGGTATGTCTCTTCCAGGCAGAGGTGTAAAGGAAGTGCTGCTGAGGGTAGGGTGTCTAATTACTTCCTCATTTGTCAGACAGTCACTGTGGTGTTGGATGGAAATGCTTTACTTTCTTTAATAATTGTTTGTGGGGAAACAAATTTAGGCCAGAATGAAGTTCATATCTTCAGGTTGTTTGACAGGATCTCCTCAAACTCAAGGACAGAGTTTGGTGCTCTTATTTGAAGTTTCCTTTTTTAACCATCAATAAAAAGTCTTTCTGCTGTTTGTCTTTCAGACCTGCTGCAGGATTCTGTTGGAAAAGAGGAGGATTTCTCTGACCAGCAGCTCTGTGGACAGGAGAGGAAATCCAGTTTGGACCAAGAGGAACCAGAAGCTCTGCAGATAAAAGAAGAGCAGAAAGAACCAGAGCATCCCTGGATAAAAGAGGAAACCATGGAGCTCCCCATAGGTGAGCAGGAAGAGCAGCTTGTTCTAAAGCAAGACATTGAAGATACAAGACAGAAACTTTTTCCATGTTTGACATGTAGAGAAAACTTTCTTAAAAAAGAACATTTAATGG